TAGTAGTTGTATGACTGAACTACTCATGGTTACATAGATCCATCCCATTCTTCGAAACTTTGATCCAAACTTCTACACATAAAAAGTACTTACGTAAGCTCTTAAAACAAACAAAAACACATGACCGTGATTCGATCCCAGAACCATCGGGTAACAAGGTAAGCTAGTAGACCATTTGTCAACTATGATCCGATCCACTTATGACTTCTTCCAAACTAGGGTGAAAACGTTATCCAGTAACCCCTGGTTATAAATGGTTCCTCGTGGTCAAATTTGGAACGAACTAAATCCTCATAAACTAAATCTTAAAAATATGTAGATAAAATCATAGGGTCTATAGATGTTTGAAAGGAGTGTAAAATTAAAAAAAATTACTAGTCAAATATAAGAAAACATTAAATAGCACAATGTAAAATTTGGTAAAACAGAATTAAACGTTACATAAAATATTTTTGATTTAGAATTACAAGTTGGACAAATGGAATAATACTGGAAACAGCTCAAATAGAGCTAGGCACACCCTTACTTTCTCCCGTGTTAAACCGTGCTGGAATATGATCTACTACCCGTGTGGAACGCGTTCTCTGACCACGGCCAATGTACCTTACTCCATAAGCGCAGGTGAAATGGTATATGCACATGGAGGTGGCAGGATGGAGGAGCTCATCTTTTAAAGAGTATGGGAGCATCTTACATCTGGTAAACGCAGTTTATAATTGTAAAGCAAAGAACGCCCTAATGACTGATATAGACCGGCGATTTTTGAGCATGTCTAAAGCCTGATCACTTTTCAACTCCTCAATCATGAATACGGTTTACTTTCAACATGTTTCGACTGTTTATCTTTTGTGTATCTGTCATCAGATCGGTTAGGATCACCGGTTTTTGTGGCCGTGGCTTTTGGGAAGAAGAGTTCTGACTCATTACAGTCAAAATTACAAAATTGTCTTATTCTAAAGCAAAACAACTAAATCAAGTACCTTTTCTTGGAGATGGGCACACAATCATTCAGGTGTACGTTTCCGGTGGATGGATCTTTTGAGGGATCCATCGTTTTATCCACTGAGGCACAAATCAAGGAAGGGAACGCCTACTTCACATTCCTTTCTGTGGCAATTGCAGAGATGGATGGCATATTTTGAATGCAAATAAGATATAATTGCATCCTCATCATAGATAACGAATGTGTCGTCTACGCAACTAAAAAAATTACTAATTGTATTTTCGTCTAATGTAAATGTCTAGCCTGACTGAAGAGAACGTTTTCAAGCTTTGTAACAAAACATTCAGCCAACAGTGGACTCAGTTTAGATCGCATCACAATGCCATCCCTCTGTCTAAAAATCTGTTTACTGGAAGTAAACTGAATATTTAATGTGCATCTCAGTAAGAGGTCTTTAAGGTAGGTTTTTGACAACTCTATGTCTAAAACATCTGCATTAATAAAATCACATATATAGCAAACAACTATCGTGAGAGTTACATAAGTAAATAGAGAAGTAACACTTAACGAGAATATAACTTTGCTGAAACTCCTAAATCTCTAATATTCTCAATAAATTTATATAAATCATCAATGAAATACTAGCTGTCGAGGAACTTAATCCTAAGGTCCTATTATTTCCTTAATAATAATTATTATTATTTCCTTCACGTTCCCAGTGGAACATACGGCTTCAATCTAGTGGCTTGAAGTTTCTATAGCAGTGTTTATTTTTACAGGATTGGGTCGCTAATCCCATGCCCAACCTTTCCTATTTACCAGGATTATTTCTGGCTCAGCGAGGTAAAGGAGTGCGTCGGCCGGTTATCGAACCCCGGACCATATGAATGGCTGGCGAGCGTGCTAATCATTGTGCCACCGACGCGCCTTAAACTCTTCGAATCGACAACCAGTAAGCACAGATATCAACTTAAGTGCCAAAATACAGTGGATAACAAAATATTTTATTCTTCTATTGTTAAAATCAATATTCTATACTAAGTCTATTAACAAATGTTTTTACAAGGAATATATTGCATATTTATTCGTACTCTTACGTCTTCTTCTAACCTGTACACCATCGAATCACTTGCACCTTGAAGTTTCCCACCAATGACGACCTATGCTAATAAACAAACGTTCAATATTCATAATCACTGACACTAACTAGTTTTCTAATTTGTTCCAGTATACACCTTCTTTCAACCTCTATATATCCCATGATTTATTCTGTATACAAGATTAATTGTTTTTCCACGTGACACTTGAAGTTTAACTACAATTGTAATCGCAGATATTTTAATTGTATCGTGTGTTATTACTGTTTTATGTATTCACACCTTTGTTGAGATTTCCTTAGGGAATATTATTGATAACAAATTCACTGAAAAGAGTTACTCCGCTGAATATTGTGTTTCTAATGCTAAAATAATAATTATTAAATTATTGAAAATATTAAAACTTTGAATAAAGAAAAAAACGAACATATTGGCAGGATAAATATGAGCACGTTTAGTTGACTGAATTCTCTTCGACTGCCTACATCCTAAGTTAATCAATAAGGACTCATTGCAGCACTCCCACCTTAAGGAAAATTGGAGAAAAATATCTCACAGACGTCTTACAAAAGAACGGATATCCAAGGAACTTCATCAAAAGACATATACCCCAAAGTCAACCTATCTAACCAAAAGTCCTCAAGGAAAGCACAAAGAAAATCACCTTACCATATATAAAGGATATCTCAGAAATCACTACAAGACTTCTCAAACCTCTAGGAATTGACGTCGTACACAAAGCAACAAGTCACTTCACTCAACTGGTCCTATGTCAACCAAGGCTACGAACAATTGGTACGACATCGTCCACGTCTGTTGATTGAGTGCTTTCGTAGTCTTGCCTCACAACAACTCCCTTAAAGATGTTGGGCGCGTAAACGTCCTAGGCAATCCTAAATTCTCTCTGTGTATGTGTATCTGTGTACAATTATACTAGCAGCAGAAAAAAAGCACTATGCTTCATTATTCTCCTGTTTCTCTCTCTATCTCTCTCTCCTTATCAGCGTTGTCCACCATCATCACACATCTTCATTTGTATTAAAATTAAAAATTCCTTCACTTTAGTAATCAAAAAAAATCACTGCGTTCCTGTGCGCGTCGGTGGCCGACCATGCATATGGTCTGGGGTTCGATCCCCCTGACGACGCACACCTGAGATCAATGATCGGCCTGCTAAATTTAGGCTACCGTGCTATTCATGCCTAAAATTCCATACTTGTATCAAAAATACAGTCTGTGGAATCAAGCTGTAATCAAAATAATAAATAATAAAAAGACTCAACAGCGAAAGAAGATAAAACCAACATCATCTACAAAATACATTGTAACAACTGCGAAAAAACACTGCATTTTTCAAAGGGAACATCACTTTCGTCTTCGTATCCACGAACATAAACTAGCCATCAAAAGACATGATATCCACTCCCTCATATCACTACATATAGACAGCCACGGACATCAATTCGACTGGGAAAACGTTCAAATATTTAACAGAGGAAACAACAAAGATGCTAGATTTCTTTTAGAAGCCTGATATTCCAGTGAATCATCAATCAGTAGACACATCGAGATAGACAAAATTTATCAACCAATAAGAAAGAAACCACACACACGAGGGGTCAAAATTCAAGCCAAAGAAACAATAAGTTCCAATGCAAGTAACCTAGAAGGTATGAAAACACACGAAAACAACCAATCACGTCCAAGGTCACCCACCGGGAGAGATTATTAATAAACTCGTGGTGAAATCTAAACTGCCCACTTCAAATTGAAGTATGCGCTGAAGATGTCACCTAGTAGGGCAATAAAAGCTTCGCAAATCAACAATCCAGCTCAGAGAACACAACCACATCATAATCAATTAAAGTGTAATGCAAAATTCCTGAACATACTTTTTACAATGATTTCAAGTTATAGATAGAAAGTATAAGAAACGTAATTCCAAAGATGATGTAAGTAGACAATTATTTGGCATTGAATGAGTAACTATTTATATACTAATTAATTACCATATAAACAGTTACTATTTTATTGCCAAATAACTGTTTACTTACATCATCCTTGAAATTATGTTGCTTGTGCTTTCTATCTATAACTTGAAATCACTGTAAAAAGTATGTTCAGGAATTTTCGATTATATTTTAATTGATTAACTTAAGATGTTGGCAGTTGAAGAGAATCCAGTCAATAAAACGAGCTGCCAATATGTTCGTCTTTTCCGTATTTAAACTAATTAAAGGGAACCAGCTGTGTGATTTCATAACTCTGTTATCGTCATCTAGTTCTAATTAGACTGTAAGCTGATAAGTCTATTCGATGAGGTTACTATTTGGAAAAATACGATCGAAGGATGTAAATTTATGCAGCCACATTTTTTTCATCATATACACTAGTACGACTTATAATCATACTCGACTCATTCGCCTAGAAATACTTGACACTAAATGACATTCCATGAGATAGGTGAACAGATTTTAAGCACTGAACTGTTAGCTTTTATAAGAGAAGAAACTAAGATGAATTTAGTGCCATACAATTAACTTGTAGTTCAAATGACGCGGTGAGTGAAACATCTACAGAAACTTGACTATAACTAACCATATGAAACCTCTGAATCCGTGCACATCTAAGATCACAGTATTAGACTGTGTTTTCGGGCCGGTGGGTAAAACCGGTTTCTGTCAACAACGCGTTTACCAATGATTTTCCCAAAAGACTTAAAGGGGACAAAATTACCACTGTTTCTTGCTTCACTTAGTGGTCAATTGTTGCTCCTCATGCAACAGAGGTATTACAAAGCTGTTTAGTTGTTGATTAAATTGAGCGAATGTGATTTCCGTCGCCTTCCACTGATGAATCGTACTCAAGAAACAACTAAGAATACATATGAAGTTTTGGCGAAAATTGCTTTTATAAACTTTTATTATTGAATTATAATTTATTTTTGTAATTAACAAAAACTTTCGTATTAAAATTGATTCTTGAATCAAACTGGACAGAAAAAAAGGATTTACTGTTTAAAGAAGTTTATTCAATCTGGTATATTAATAGTCGTCAAGGCGTTTTCATCTTCATTTTCCATTGAAAAATCTGCTCGTACGTCTGTATGTCGGCGGAAGTTGATAGGTGTATTCCCAGGTATGTAATCTGCTAGTTGAACCATCAGGATTAGTAATATATCTAGTTTGTTTCTTTTTGCCGTTTCCACCTTGTTGTTTACGTAAAAGCTGCTCCCACTTAGCATCAATTGGTCCAGTTTTATAATATATTGGTTTGTAGTCGTTGTTTCTCAGTTCGGTACTATCGATGTTCATTTTAGATAAAAATTCATTCCAGTCAATACCACCTGGTTGAGAGTTATAATTTATTGACCCACTGTTGTAATTTGTTTGCTTTCTACCATCATCAGGTCTGCTAACTACATTGGTAGGTCTTTTGTTTGTACTTGTTGGCATCCTGGTGTCGCTTGGTGGTCTGTTATTAACACTAGGTCTTTTACCATTGGTTTTGGGTTTTTTGAGTGTTTTTGAAGGTCGCTGTTTGATACTTAGTGGTTTGGGTTTTAATTCATCAGGGGTAATACCACTAGGATCCTTACCATCTCCTTGGCAAATAACACGCTTAGCTTCATATGGCTTCTGACCTACATAGTTTCCACTTTAAATTAAGAAAAGAATAAAAAAATAGAAGTTACACACTACAAAAAAATGAAAATGTGTTTGCACAATATGTATAAAAAAGAAAAAGCCAAATTAGATATGCGATTTCAACTCACCCTATAGCGTAATTGCACACAACATACAATCGATATGGAAATTCCTTCTTCCCGTGGCAGTCGTTAACTGCACATCCTACATATGTGGTTTGGTTCCATACAATCTAAATGATAAACAAAAGTGAACAGTTATCAGTTCAAGTAATTTTGATAACAAGTTACCAGAAAATTAGATGATGTAAAATATGGAATCCCGTGGCATATTTGTCGCTAATACTCGTTTTACGACACATACATAAATTAAGCATTCACCTACTGCATCGCCATGAGTGCACGTAACTCGCCAGACTATGAATTGTTACATTTTTTACTAAATGAGTCACTTAGTTCACCCTTTTGTCATAGGGAATGCAACAAAACACATAATTGTCTAATAAAGTATAGGAAGGAGCTATCTAAAATAAGACTGTACAGTATTAACTCCATAAACATAATACAGAAAGGCAAATATTGTGAAATCCTAATGTGTCTGGCTGTCATTTGCGTACTTTTCACTAGTATATATCAAACGTGACCAACGCGTCTAAAATGTCTTTTGAGTGAATAGTTAACCAGTGTCCATCTCATTTCACTTCATGTGGTCTGACAAAGAAGCTGCTTCAAGTGTGAAGTCTCCTGAACCAAATGGCAATTAGACACTAGTCTCAGGCATCGAGTGTTAGGTTTCATTCAGTAGGTTACTCGAAACCTTTCAGCACCAAAATTCTAAGGGTAGATAGGACTTCAAAAGTGGCAAATAGTCTCAGCTCAAATCAATCAACACATATCACTTTAGGAAATTCACAGACAGAAACTGTCTTATAACTATCACAGGAAATAACTCAATCCACATGAATGATATACATTGAGGTTATAGTAAAGACGGCACTTAAACATCTAATGAAACTTATGTCTAATGATTTTAGTTTGATGAAATGTATATATATATATATATATATATATATATATATATATGTAATGACCAATTTTGACACAAACTGGGATCGTAAGTATTTACTTCACCGAATTATAATTTTTGCATAAGTTGGATTCTTTTTGGTAGTAAATAGCAGCTATTAAAGATATATATATATATATATATATACACTCAGGCTGTGAACTTCAATCAAGAGATACCTTCTCTAGGTCCTCAATGAAAGTCAAATAACTCGAAAGGATTAGAAAACCAAGGAGACCGTTGCGCGACATCTCACTTCATTCCCTTGAGCTTGACCAAAATGAGGAGCTAGTATGTGGAAGGGTCAGCTAAATAACACTGTAGAGAAAAGATTAACACAGTAACGTACACCTGAAAGCCTATGTTCTACTTGGAACCGAAGTGAATAATACTAATAATAATTTGCACACATTTAGGTGTCCAGTATACGATGAATTTACGTATATTTACATCGCCTGAATTATATCCTGACAGTCTGAAATCTATTTGATTTGATTTACATCTTAGTCACCACCATTCACCAATAAAGCACTTTAAGATATCTTTTGAAAGTTAACCCAAATTTGTGTGTGTGTCACGTTAGGTGACAGAGACATTTTTAACTTCAGTTGACTAATATGTTAACAGATCAGCCAATTAGACATAAATAGATGAAAAAAACATGGTTAAAACATTAAAATTCAAGTAATCAAATCTAAAATTACTGCACCTGAGTATAATGTCCACAAGCTTTCCCTGGTGTGCAACTTAGTTTCCAATAATTGTAATCCTTGTATTCATCTGTCCACGCCTTCATAGCTCTAAATGTTTAAGCATAATAAATACCAGTAAAAAAATTAAATTAAATTACGATGCTGTTGACCAGGATCCCGCAATGTTTTGTCCAATGTAATGAAAGGTGTGCTTTGGAAGAGTTTTATAATCATGTTCGTATACGCATCGATCGACTAGATTTTTGGCATAACCTGCGATTTCATCGTTCCATTTCTGCAACAACAAAAACAACCGCAATGATTTACAGCAGGATAAAAATAAATTCACATCCAAAATGTATACTGAAACTACAGTTAAATAAACTGCCATTAGGCATAAACAATAATGCATATCAGATGCAGAATTGAGAGAAAGATAATAGGAAAGAGAGAGAAATCTCAACTGAAACTCCAACTTTTACTCGAAATGAGAAATAAAAAAAGCTTACCAATTTAGGGAGTGGAGTTACACTAGCTGGTTGTCCACGTATTTTGCAGTCGCTCAGAGATTGTCTGAAGTTGTTGTGCCATTTAAGCAAGTTGATCTCATCTTCAGTTGAAGGTGAACCAGAGGCCAGTTGAAAGACCAGCACCAAAATAACCAGAATAGTTGTATCCATCTTGAGCATACCTTACTGGAACGGATAAAATCATTTATATTTTTAAACGAATAAATATCTCTTCAATATTTCTATTTTTAGGTGTTTTATTTTAGTGTGTGACCACCTCTAATTCTTATAAGGAACTCAACCAATACAATTTGATTGGCATAGAAGATGAATGTTGTTTGTGAGTTCCTTAAAACACTTCAAATAAAATTTCTCAAAGTATTTTTAGTGACCAACCATACACTTTACTTCAATTTGATATATATTAAATTGGGAGGAAACATTGAAGTTCAAGATCCATCACAGGATTTATTTTTATTAGTTTGATTAGCTTTTCATACCACTCACAAGAAACAAACGAAAATTTGTTATTCAGCCGCGTGTTTTCAACCTGCATGAATGTGTCATCTACTGTTTCGATCAAATTGATCTGTCCATAGGATATTGTTGGGTGATTTGATCGATACTCTATCGCTCATGACAACCAGAAGGACATACCGTCCTAATACTTTGTTTGGACTCCTCAATGAGACCAAATTTCATTATCCTATGTCTGTTTAATAGAGCTACATCGAGCAGCTAATTATGAGGTGACTACATAAACTAATCAGTAAGGGATAACTGGATATATGCATCCGTAAACATCAGAAAATGCAAATTAGAAATTATTTCAGAAACACGTGACTGATCTTCGAAGCTACCTATCGGAATAAGAAGAACTTATAACCGAGTAGCCAAGTAGTTAGGTAGTTTGCAGCAGATGGGAGCCTGCGAAATAGAATGATATCACTTTATACCGCAAATATAGTCCCTGTTTCTTCATCGAGATTTATCAAGGGAACTGTTTTCTGTAGCTAGTGTGAAACCTCTCTTCAATCAGTTAATTCTCAATTAAGCAACTTCCTTATATATATGAGTTATCAATACAAAAATGAAACTAGTGACTAAGAAAGTTTACACCAAGTCATAATTGCCTTTCACACTGATTCATCTCACTGATTGGCATAACTATGAAACTCTGCTTATCACTGAGAAATAATCATTTCGAGGTACATACTGAATTCAGAATAAATTTCTACAATGTAGAAACACTCAGTGGTTAAGCGCTCACCTTCATTCCTCATAAAATTATTTTTTAGAAACTTAGATATTCACGGTCTTCCTAAGTGTGGTCAGTATCAGTGGTGACGTCTCTCATTGGGATGACTCCCTGCTCTCCCTCTCCCCTGTGAGTTATATAGCAGTATTATGCAAGTCAGCGTGGAGGAAATTAAAATCTCAGCTTTGTTGTGTTACTCATGTCACTTCCATAAAAATCGACCTCACAGTACTCAATAATAATCTGAGTTATACCATATAATGTGATAAAGTATTTCAATGGGCAAAGATCAGATCTGCGGTATACAATGAGACCATTCTATCCCACAGGTTCTCACCGGATACAAACTCATTGAAATTACAATGTTTACGAAAATGATAACAACATACCTGTATGCTTGAATGGTTAACGTATCCAAAACGCAAACGCTGTAACTACTTTCATTCCAAGTTAGCATCACTTTATATATACTTTCAAGCAGAAAAGGAGGAAGGGGGGCAGACAATGCACAGATAAAATTCTAATAAACTCTGTTTGCTTATAAGTTCACACAACAACTCAAGAAGGTTATGGCTCATAAGACTACACTATCTTACGATGTATAACCTTGAGTTTCTGTGTGAACTTTTAAACAAACACTGTTTATAAGAATTTTCTGTCCTTTGTCTCGTCCGCCCCCTTCGTTTTGTCGGTTTCTAATTGACTCAATGCTTATAATGCTTAAATTTGAGATGCGTCAATTTTATCATATTTTCTCTACTGTCATTCACGCACTGAAGTATGTGATTGCCATTTTTATATAACTATTGTAATTTCAGATAGTCTGCCCATCTGGTGAGAACGTGTGAAATACGCTGATTTCATTTTGTACTGCAAATTTAGTCTACCTTTCCTTCGTCGTTTTCCACTCCGGTTCACCAAGAACAAAAGCCTGGAGTACTATGTCACTTAATGGATTCATCAGGATGTACCTGATAAATAAATGTCCATTCCGTTGATTGGACAACAGGGAGGAACTCGTGTCATGCATCTGGTCCTCTGTTTACTACAGACCGAATTCTATCAGTCAAGCCTTGAAATCTGACCACCATGCCACTAGGTGGCTTACCATCACGGTTCACTGTGAAGTATTGTTAGCCAAGGCTTACTGATGATAGCCTCCAACCATACAATAACAACAGTTGACAGTACACTCTGACAGCGAGCCACTTAGCATGGTGGCCACATTGCAAAGCCTAACTGACAGAATTCTGTTTGCATCAAACTAAGCACTAGTATACAGTACAGTCCAACAGGAGATCGATTACGAGCTCGAATCGCCCAACGGTAACGTCTCTGATTTCAACACTAAACGAAGTGGGTTGCAGTCACAAAAGCCAGTTGATTGCCTTCAAGATTGATAACGCCTTGCTGACGAGTGCTGACACGCGCGTAACTTGTTCCATCCATACTACTGATTGCCCTCAGCAGTCGAATGCAATGCCTGTTGTCAATGCTCTTTTTCAATCGCTAAGTCTGTGAACCATGAAGAGAAAAAGACCATCTTGACAATAGTGTCGAAAATCCGAAGGAGTCACCTGGTTTAAATTTTGATCACAGAGAATGACTAGTGCTTGTTGTCAGTTAGTTAAAAATCCCCTGCCATCCAAATGATTGAATGTGTTATTTTAAAGTGACTGTCTTTCTTTGGCGAATGATAATTTATGGAAACGAATTGGGATAAGACAACGGTTGGCTTTTCTACACATTTCTTACAGTATGTAGATGACTTCCTGATTTTCTTTCCTCCATTCACCACACTATGTAGTAAAAATTGACAAATGAATTCTTACCTCTCATTTCTGTGGAATCCATCAAAACAACACTTTGACGTACTTACTTATTGTTGGATGACTGATGGTGATCAGCAGGAATCCGTGAAACAGCACTAACGCCTATTGTGAAATGCATAGACTTCGACTCTATTTTTTTCAAACGCGTTGCAGTCAGAAACACACTACCAACGAATTATTTAAGCTAGCAATCAGTATAGTGCTTATATCAGACGTTCACGTACAAGGTACTACTTACAGGTGTCTATTAGTTGTACAGACTGAGTTCAGTTAGTGAATTTGTATTCTTCCATTATCGTTATGGTGCCTTCAAATTAATGCAGAGAGGTGAGTGGCAAGAACCTTGACTGGTTTTTTTGAGCATCACATCACTTACGCTACTTAGACGAAGAGTAAAATATATGAATCTCCAAAAAGACGGAATTAGTGTTCTGAAGATATTTCAGCTTGTTGAGTCGTACCAGAGAATTTGAAAGTAGTTTCGACAAACTGACAAACTCCAAAGTGAATTTGGTTACCTTATTGTTAATCACAAGGCTCTCTTATTTTCCAACCGTCTAAATTCAATATTCAAGTGTTTCATATTGCTTTGATCACATAACTATTTGCTTGAAATGCAAATTGGTCAAAACACAGGGCTTCAAGGATTCCAATTTCACTATGAGTGAGAGTTGTTAACCTTTCACCCTATTCGGGCCTGCTACCGGATGATTAAGGCTTAGGAATATAAGTTGGACCACTCGTGTGCCTGAAGAGAATTCTATTATCGAACTGCTGGTTCACAGTACTCAACCTTTGTGATTATTTCGTTTGATTTTTCTTGTTAAAGAGATCAGCTTGTTGCAGGATGAATGTGATAAACGTCCAACGCTCTACTATATCTCCACTTCAAACAGAGTAGCTGTTAACAGTACTAATTGAATGAGGACTGAAATATAATTATTATATTATTACTCCCTTGCGTTCCGAATGGAACACACGGCTTCAACAACACATCTTCGCTTTGTTCTGTTTTCTGCCGCCTTCTTAACTGGGACCGTGATTGACCAACACCTCTCATCTCTTCCTCACACGATGTCCTTCATATCACCCTCGCACCGATGACCCACTCCTCACTTCCATTTGCATTCCACTCAAGCACTGGTCTGGCGCGCGGTGTCATTCGGCGGCCCCTCAATGTATGCCCGATCCATCTCCACTTTCTCCTACATATTTGTTGAGCGATCGGCTCTTGGTTGGTTTATTCCCACACTTTCTTTCTAGCCATTTGATCTTCAGTATACACCAAGCGAAGGCATCTGTTGAGAAAGTCTGCTACCTGTTCGAAATCATTTGCGTGACACGCATTGCAAGTTTCTGACCCGTATAGAAGAATCGACGGCACACTGGTGTTGAAAATGTGAATCTTGTTCATTATGCTGGGTGTGGAAGGTTTCCAAACTGGTTTCAGGTTGGTGAAGGCGTATCTTGCTTGTCTCTCCGATTCTAACTGGTTTTGACATCTTCGTCCGTTCTGACTACCTGTAGTTGAGATGATGCATCCTAGCCAGATAAGTGAAGGAGGCAACCTCTGTTAATTCTCCCGCTTGATGGCGATTGGTGCCAGCTGTTGTTGTCGCTGCTGTTCATTGGTATTCCTCATCAACTCCGTATTCTCTGTGTTCACCTATGGTCCTGTTTTCGCTGCCAGCCTCTTCTGACGGCTTATTTGTTTTCCCTTCTAAGTCCTCGAGTTTGTGTGACATTAGACATGCCATTTGCGAAATCCACATATTCCGGGGTCTTCTTATCGGTCGTCCAGTGCATTCCTGACTCCTCGCCCCCAACAGTCTGGTGCTTAATCGAGTCCACCACACTTAGGAATATCATCTGTGGCAATAGTCAGGCAGTCTCGTCCTACTCCTGTATTCACTTCAGACGCCTCGCTGAGATTTCCGTTGTGGATCACTTGAAACGTGGCGTTGTCACATAGTTTTTGAATGATTTTGATAAATACTTGAGGCACACCGTAGTGTTGAAGTAGTTTCCAAATTACTTCTCTGTCAACGTTGTCCATCGAAGGCCTTTTTGCAGTCGATGAAGTTAAGGCAAGGGTTTGACTGCTATTCTATGCTTTGTTCGATGACGATTTGTAGAGTTGGAATTTGATCAACACATGATTGGCCTGTCGTCCGTGAGGATTTTGATGTCTCTATTCGGCATGTTTCCAATTACTGTTTGTAGTTATCTGTAAAATTCTTCCTTCTTCTCTTCCTCCACGTTGTTTGTATCATTGTGCGTACCACTGAATAGTTGTTACCTTCCTTCCATTGGAGTTGAATCTTGCTGTCATGATCCTGCAGGACGAAGTCGGTTTCCACTTAATTAGGTATATGACTGCAACTGGTGACATCATGATGCCCACTCAGCGACACACTGTGTTCATGGTTGTCGTCTGGATGACTGGAGTAGAGTAGGTGACTCTCCTGTTTACTATGTTTTCAATCACACCCATTCCATCTGCTTTCGCAAATACCCAGCACTTCTAAGCCATACATCTGCGTTAATTTCTGGTGCCGTCTTCAATGCTTCGGGAGGAATACCGTCTGGTTGTCGGTGGTGATCGATACAAGATTCATTTAAAGTGGTCAGCCAATTCGTTGTTTTATTCGATTCTCCTCTTTGGAAATCAGGTTCTCTTGAGCATCTTCTAATGCTTTCATCATTTGGATTGATCCCTTCCTAAAGAGTGACCTCGTTATCTGGTATAATGTCTTCAGGTCACTTTCACCTGAAGCTTCCCAGTTCTGCTTCAGTTGGCAGTCAGTATGTCGCAGAATTGTCCGAGGACCCTCCTTCACTTATTAATTCAGTGCAGTGTACAATGAACTCAGCCTCTACTTCTGTTTTCCACCTTCACATTGGGTCATCTTCTCTTGCACCATCCTCATCTTCTCTCTTAGATTTGCCTCCAGGTAGGTGTCCGTAGAGAGGCATTCCTTGTCTTGTCTCCTCCTTCTTCCTAGCGGTTGTACACGCACCTTAAATATCAATTTCACAGAGTTGCAATGTTCTTCAACACAGGTTCCCTCCGTGATGCCATTTGGTGTATTTGACTTTCCTGTAATCTGATCTGATCTGTAGAGAAGGCGATCCATGTAGTTTTGTTTCTTCTGAATGTTGAACTTGAAATGTGGCCTGTCTCCGCTTGTTCTCATGGATTTCAATTTCGACTTGAAGGTTCCCTCAACTAGCTACATGATGGTCTGAGCCCCCCATCTGCTCCATTTCTCCACTTTGTTTCCAGCAGGCTACGTCTCCAATTCCTTGAGATTGATTTGAAATCTATTTGGCTTGTGTTGTGTCCATCGGGTGAAATCCTTGTCGCTGGCCTTGTGTATATCCTTGTGTTTGTATACACTCTCTCCGATTACAAAATCGTTGTAAGAGTGGAAGTCTTCGAACAATTCTCCGTCCTCACTCATTTCTCCGAGATACAGCCTCTCGACGCATGATGAGTTCTCTTCCTGGATTACCTGCTTCCAGTTCAGTTGGCATTCATATCACCAATGAGGATTTGATATCTCTATTCAGTATGTTGTTCATTACT